TACCGATCAATAGCAAGACGCGTAGAGTATTTACTTTGCCTTCCGCAACTACTGCGAGTAAAAGGTATTTGACAGTAGAGTACTCTACTGGTAGTACTTGAGTATTTTCGAAGAAAACATACATTTGTGGCAAGAATGATAGAAGAATTTTCTGGATCGTGCATTTGTGGTATCTGAATAAAACTAAGGACAGGATTGTAGTGGATCGATGAAGAGAGCGACGAGCAAAACGTACTTTCAACTAAAATGCTGATATACATACCTAAGTACATATGTATGTATGTGCATAGATACGTATGTGCATAGATACATATGTGCATAGATACGTATGTGCATAGATACATATATATGTAAGTGTCCACATATATATTTTCTCGTCACTTGTTCTGTCGCTTCACTGCAGCAAAACCAAGTTGTGGGGAAACCCCTGACGATATGCGTAGAATTGAAACCATGGGTTTGAAGATAGCGCAAATTGATGTGAAAATTTCAATTTCATATTAAATATATTTATGTATGCATGTACATATATATGTAAAAATGTAGTTTCGATTTAAAAAAATCTGATAGTTTTTCTTTCGCCATTCATACACCTCTCATTTTAGTATTTATAAAAAAAAAAAACTCAATGAAACTCAAAAACTCTATCTTGCATTTGATTTTACTCAATACCAATTTGAGCTGTCAATGGGTATATTCAGAAAAAAATCAGTGATCGTTATGCGTCTTCTGAACCACTTTATACGTTAGCTGTCAAATTCAACTCTCAAAGGTACACACCAACATGTTGTGTCAAATGATCAGAAAAATATTAGGATCATCTAAAACGCAACTATTCAGTTGATCAGAAGTACGCAACAACGCGTTCAGAAGGTGCAATCGCACCAGTTACTCCAGTTTTTTTTATTTGTAAAGGCTCTCAAGAAAAACAAGAAATTCATATAAAATTACGCACAATAAATGGAAAATAAATTTGCTTCTATAAAAAATTTCTTAAATCAGTATGCAGCTCTTAAGAAAAAAAATGCTTGTACATCTCGTCGCTACCATGTCCAACTATCGAATGTGAAAATCGGCTCTTTTCAAAATTTTGATTTGCCACTAATAATTTTATTTCGTATAGCAGCATTGCTTAAGTTATTGTTTTCGACAACTTATTTGTTGATTAATGACTGCAAATAGTTTTATAGAAAATTAGAAACGAGAAATAATACTTTCATAAAAATTTAAGTA